AAATAATTAAAAAAAAAAAAAAAAGATATACAGCTACTTTTGCTGAATTCAATGAGAAGAAAGATTTGTACTAACAGTGTTTGGACAGGATATCCTGTCTGCTTCTTGTACTATGGATAACCACTAAGAAGATAACAATGTACAATGTATTAATTATTGAAACTGTCCTATTGATCAGCTTTGAAACTGTCTCATTGACACTTGTTTCTCAATAAAATAAAATAAAATGAAATAAATAAATAAATAAAGACCTTGAGTTCATCCCTTTCTCCTTCCCACACTTTAAAAGTTTTCAGCAGTACCATCACTAAATTTCTGGAAAAAGGTAAGTACCTCGTTTCCCATTTTCACATAATTATGGAAAGTTGATGCGTACACACAACTTGCCCATCCCAACAGGCCAAATCGGCAATCAGGGGGCACCTTACACCCGCAGAGCCAATCGACCTCTTCTGTTTGTGGCACCGGGGCTCAAGCCAGAGTCTGACACACACTAGGCCAGCACTTTACCACTGTGCTGTACCCCGGCCTCATGCTGACCTCTTTATCAATGTAAGCCTTGTGGTCCTTCCAGGCTCGGGCTGATTGATACAGTTCCCTCTCGCAGTGGATTGTATCATTTGGAAGAATAAAGCACCTGCAAGAGCAAATCAGAGAGAGAGAGAGAGAGAGACAGAGAGAGAGAGAGACAGAGACAGAGACAAAGAGACAGAGAGGAGAAAGAGGAGGAGGAGGAAGAGGAAGAGGAGGAGGAGGAAGAGGAGGAGGAAGAAGGAGGGAGTCCCATATTAGAAAACACTAGACATGGCAAAGATAATTTATTTCCTGAAAACTCTTGCTGTATATGCCAGAAGCGAATCTCCAGACAATAGTAAAGAAGAACATGTCCTGGTTCCTGCTGGACAAAGGACAGTGTTTGAGACCAAGACTCTCACACGACTGCCCTGCTAGGCAGCTTCCAATATTCTAGCCCCCAAATGATAGGTGCCAACCTTAAATTCAAATTTCAAAAGCCTGGAGTGAATATATAGAAGAAAAAAGAAGTCTTCCTAGCCATACTGCAAATGGTTTGTTTGAAGAAATGCAGAATGAGAAGTAGAAAATGATTCTGCTCCACACATTTTGATAAAAAGAACTTATCTTAAGTTATTTTAACTCAGAAGTTTATAAAAAAAATTCTGTGGTGCTGGGGATCAAACCCAGGACCCTGTACTACTAGGCAAGTGCTCTGCCACCTCAGCTGTATCCTTTGTTAAAATCTGGAACAAAATCAGTCTAAGGACAGAGAGCAGAAGGGACTGGGTCGGTCCAAGGCATCAGAGGGCTGGATCCTGTCTAAGTCTGAGTGTGTGATGGGTGTCCAACTCCAGAGTGGAAGATCAGGGCATAGTTCACAGCATCCGAGAAGGATGAACTCAGGGACCAGACAAAGATCTTTCTAGTAACTGATAAAACTCACTAAAGGGCTATTCCTTCATCAAGAGAGTAAGACGATTTGGGGAGGAATCAAGGAATTGATCCGGCTCACCGGCCATGGGGCGCCGTTCCACCTGCCTGGCTGTGGGCCTTTCCAAGTCTGCTCCCCAGCACCTGGGACAGGTTAGGTCGTTCTGCATCTCACACCCATTCCCAACTCTATGCCAGTTTTCCAGGAGCTCTGGGGCCCAGTGTACTAATATGGACTGTGACTGCAGTGCCCTAAGCTGCTCGGAGGTCCGTCACCATCACAGCTTCTCTCTGACCCTAGATGCCTACAAAGGCCTTGCTTGAGGGCGGGAGCTCCACACGGAGGTCAAGATGTGGCACAATCACTCAGGCTGGAATTAGCCATAGTGGGAAGTGGAACCCAAAGCGTACGGTTTGGGCCCCTGCACATCCTTGGCCCTCAGACACCGTATCACTGAGTCAGACCACTTTCTCGAAGTGCAGACCAGTGATTCCACGGGGTAAAGGGGAACTGGGATATCAGCTAGCAACCGACCCGCACCTCCGAACCTCCTTACTTGTGTGTCACGCGGACAGTGGAGGGAGGGCCCACGGCATTGCTGCTGTCGGCCAGCATCTCGTCGCCATGGCCACCACTGGCAGCCTGGTGACCCCCCAATCCCTGGTGGCCTTCGTTGTGACGCTTAGCAATGCTCCTGGGTTGCAGCACTTGCAATTCTTCTTCTTCCAGATTTATGTCATATATTTCGCCTTCAAATTCAACAGACAAAGAACGCGTCTGCCGGGTGTGGACAAACCTGGGCTTATACTCTGCGAGAAAGGGAAGATGAGTTAGGTTGAATGACCTGATGGAGATTAGGAGGGGAGATGATCGCCCGCCACAGTGGGGATCTTGGACAGCAACAAGCGGCATGGCTGCACCGCTGTGGGACATCAAGTACTCTGGACACCCTGGCATTCATGGCAGGATGGGAGGCTCTCGACCTCAGTGTGCAGCTGCGCTGACTGTGACAGTGAGTCACTTCTCTGCGCCTCAGGTCCTTCACCCTCAAGCTGGGGGCAGATGGGGTGGTCTCTAAGTCCCTTCCCCTGATGGCAGTAGGTGATTTTCTACATTTCATTATCAATATGAACTACTAGGGCAGTTTGTTGGGATGAAATTTTGTTCCTAATTATGATATTAATAACCACAACCCTTTACTGAGCTTTGACTGTGCCACAGACCCCTTTCTATTTGTTTCTATCCCACTATCTTAAGAAACAAGAATTGTAATAAAGCCTTACGTAAAAACCTACGACTGCCAAACCAGGTTCATGAACGTGGTGTTATCGTCCTTCTTTTATAAGTGAAAAACTAAAGTTTTGAGTGTTATATACATTTTCCATGGAGTAGGAAGCTAGGACTAGAAACTTTCAGACTATAGTCTTGTCAGGCTTCTGCTGCTTTTTCAAGAACAGTGAAACTCTAGGCACCTATTTGTATAAATAGGGGACGATCACTCTAAGACAAATGCAATGCTGGGAATGCGTGCACCAGCCAAGTGACCCTCATACCTGGCAGATGGGGGGGGTAAGGCTGGACATAGGCCAGTATGCTTTCTGGTGACCAAGGGACACTGTGCAGTGCTCACTGGTGCTAGATTAGAAGGGCACCATGCACGCTTTGGCCCTGCGTACCAGATGCTCCTTCAGGCCAGTGGAGGCATATTCACTGGGTCTGTGCTCTGGCACGCTGTCATATTAGGGAGAAGAGGGCACAGGCCATGGACAGAGTAGTCCGTCTTGGAGACAGCATGCTTCAGCTGTAGGGCTGCAGCTTTTAGATGTGGGGCAGCCTCAGTGGCCGCTTGTGACCAAGCATTCTAAGGATCCTCTCCCCACACCAGGGTGCAGGGGGTGCCACGTTGGCTCCCCATACACAGCTGCAGCGAGCCTACACTAAAGAGCACGCCTGTACTGAAAATGCTTTGGCACTGCATGGGACACACTGAGAAGCTTTTTTAAAGGAAAGTTATTTAGCAGGACACAGTGGCCCATGGCTGTAATCCTCTCTTTCTGGGAAGGTGAAGCCAAAAGATCACAAGCTTGCTTGCGCTCAGACTGGGCACCTCAGAGGCTTCAAGACGCTGTCTCAAAATAAAAATTTTAAAAAGGCTTGGGAAAATGGCTCAAGTCTGAAGACCCTGGGTTCAATCCCTAGGACTGGAAATAAAAAGAAAAGAAAGGCAACAACAATAAAACAAAATAAAAAGGGAGAATGACAACAACGAAACACACAGCTGAAAAAGCTGCCCTAGATTTTTGTTTATGTTCAACATTGAAATATTCATACACTCCATGGCCAGCACTTGAGCAGTGAGGTCCCACTTTCCAGAAGAGCAGAGGAGACCCTTGCTTCAAGCTGAAATTTGATAATCTGCTTTTGGTCAAGGAGAATGTCAGGGGTCTGTGTTCCTCGTTTATTTTAAATATGATATTCTTGTATCAATGACCTAAATCTGGCATTTTCTGCATGAAGAAAGAAACCTCGTAATTCAACAGCTTTTAGCCTTCTGGCATATAGATTCCTTTATGAATTTGTTGAAAGTTACTGACTTTGAGAAAAATGTGTGTGTATATATATATATATATATACACACACACACACACATATATCTCACAAAATTAGATGAACTTTCAAGGATCCGCTACCTTAGAGCCTTCTTGTTACAGAACATAAAAGCAATCATTCTAAGGACTTCTGTTATTTTTATAGATGATATAATTTCCAAGTCTTGGACACAAAATTGAATTTAATGCATATTGCTTATTTCTAAGGTTTGGAAATCACCACAGAATTGAGCTGCTTCCCACATCGTACCACTAGATGGCACCAGCCTCCCATTCTTCAGCTGAGCCTGCGCGTTTTCTCTATAATCTTAGGTTTCTTGTAGCTTGTCTGGTAGTTTTTATGAACAAAGTGCTAGGCAACGCGTTTCACACTGAATTTGACTAGTCTGACCCTGTCGGCACGATCCAACCATCTGATAAAAATTTAAAACTAGATAGTGTCCTAATACAGAGATTAAAATATGGTGCTTTAAAAAAAGTGGTAATGTTTTTCGTCTTAAGATAAATACACACACACCTTGGATTTTTTTTTTTAAAGCAATCTAAGGCAGACAAATAAGACCCTTACCATGAAAGCAAAATCAATCTGATCTAAACCATCTATTCATACTTTGGAATAACTGAATAATTACTTTATAGCTGTTTTCTGTGTGCATATGTCTTGCATCTGGTGTTTTATTAAATATGTGTTCATTCTACGTTTAAGTGAAAATATTACAAAGCAAAATTTCAAATTAGTCTTAGCTTTCTTATTTCAACCAGAACAGTTTTCTTCTAGTCGGGAAGCTGTGCACTGATAATATCTAAACTGTACAAGGAGACCTTCTGTCTCTCGGGCCCCAGAGGAAGGACGCTTACTTGGGGTGCCTTGGTTTCTCAGGAACTGCCTCTGGCTCTTCCTCTGGCTGCGGCTGGCACGGTAGGCAGACTCCCTACAGACGCAGTCCTTGTCCTTGCCCGGGAAGCCCCGAGCGTAGAGGCTGCGCGTGCTCTGCCGGACAGTGAGCAGGTCCCCGGGGCCTTTGCATTTGTGGATGCGAAGCTTGCCGGACGCGTCCTCAATGCACTGCCACTTCTGCAAAAGCCGACAGGACAGCAGTTACCGGGCTCCCAGGCAGATGTTACTTAGGAAGGACTGCAGCTCCCCCCCCCCTTTTTTTTGAGAACCAGGGGCAATGCCATTAAAGAAAATAAATGAAGAAGGACAAATTTTAAGTGACCATGCAATAACCCCAACTATTTCTTTCACTGTAGGCAAATACATAAGACGATGAAATCACTGGAAATCAGAAAAAACCCGATGACACCAGAGCCAAAAACTGACATATGAATCCTCAGCCTGCAGACTAAACAGTCTTGAATGAAGCGTGTAAAAGCCCTTAGTTCACCAGGACCCAAGGCGCAGCTGTCAGGGCTGTTCTTACCAGAGCCCGCTTGCACTGGCAAAACAAACTTGCCTGCTTTGTTTTCTGTTTTTGAATTTCTAACACAAGCCAGAGCAAAGTGGCACACAAGGAAGTCGGAGAGGAGGTTAGCTACAGTTCCGACGCACTACGGCGGCTTCCCTTTTGGCTTACCCTTTTGGATAAGCACCCCCAGCAGGAGCCAGGAGAGGCGGGGTCCCCTGCCCTGTACACCCCGGGGGAGGGGGAGTGGGGTGGTGTACGCAGGGAAGCGTGCTGTGGGCGCTGCAGGTTCACATTCCCGTAAATGCGACACTAACGTGACTCTGCGCCGAGGGCGAGCTTCCCGGTGCCACCCCGCTGAAAGATCCTTCCGCTGCAAGGCGTTTTGTGGGATCCTTCACACATTAAAGCCCTACTTGCTCTTTTTACTTTACATTTTTCTGCCTGAAGTACAGTTTGGGAGGCAGGAAGAACACTGGCCCTGCCTTGAGGCCGGCCACTATGGTGAAGAGCGGATAAGCAGCAGGGTCATCTAACTCTCAGCCGTTGCCCCTTACATATATAATGTCCCCCGCATACTGATATTGATAATTTTCTCTAAATGTGTGCGTGTCTGCACTGTGACTTAATGCACTGATCTCCTTATTTAAATGAACAACCACTTTTAAAAAGATACACTTTCATGAGTCACTTAAAATGATCTCTTACCCCCAAACGGGGCCAGTGCCACGCTTTGGGGTGACAGTTTGGTTGTAAGGTGACCTAAAGCAAGGTCAAATCTAACCAAGGACCCTGGATGGCTTTGCCAGCAGATGAATGAAACTCGCGTACTCAGTGGAACACAAACATGCACAATGAACTAGAGACAGAGTCACTGCTGCTTCTTGGGGAAGGGAGGTGAATGTCTGCCTAAGTGCTGGATTGTAGGAGCTATGTCTACTGGATACTTTCCAAATTCCAGATATGTAGGCCTCATTTTATGATTTGCTTTACCTCTCTACACTTGGAGTGTTACTGAGTTCATTTCAAGCCAGGGTAAGTCACACCCTTCCTTCTTGGCATGGCTAGAATGCTCAACACCTTGATCCAGGAAAGCAGGACCTCAAGAGAGGTCAAGAAGATGGACAGGCAACACTGAGTATAGTCTCAGGACTAAGCGAGGAGGTAACTAAATAATGTAACATCAATTTGCTCAGGGACAAGGGGATTGGGTCACCTGAATGACTCTCAACTTTTCTGGGCTTCGGGTCTGAGCAGCTCCCCAGTGACTATAATGTGCGGTGGGATTAAGAGCCGACTTTCATTCATCGGAGGCTTCTGGGCCTCTGTGGCTGGGGCCCTTGGTGCGGCAGGAGGAACATATTTAGGTCTAAGTAGCTCAGATGCATGAGTCTTTGAGGAAATTATAGTTTTTTTTTTTTTTTTCTGGGTGTAACCTGTACAAAGAAAAACATGTCTAGAAATCTGGTGCAACCAGTCAGACAGTGATTGGCATTGGGCAGAGGGCTCCTAGGAGCACAGAGCGTCCGTACCGCAGGAAACAGCCTCCACGATCTGCACCACTTTTCACAGTTAACTGACAAGGGACTTAGACTTAGCTCGAAGCCTGCATGTGGCCAGGCTCTGAGTTCTACTACTTCATGTGGGGACCGTGGATTTGTGGGTCTGGGTGTGAGGCGCTCTACTTAGTTCTCAGAAACCGAAAGGCAGCTCTGCTAAGGAGTAGGGCTCTACCCAGAGCTCTTGCTGGTGAAAAGTGCTGCTAAATAAATGACTTTCTGTAGCTCTAAAATTTTGGGGATGACTGTTGCTTGAATATGTCTGTGAACACTTATATATCCTTTTATTTTTTCTTTGAGACAGGTTCTCATGTGTTGACCAAGCTGGTTTTGAACTCCTGGGCTCAACCGATCACCTGCCTCAGCCTCTTGAGAGGTTGGGGCTTTGGGTATGTGCTACTATACTTGGCTAACAATTTTTAAATCATATGAGAATAACAAAAGCTTCCTGCATTTTTATAATTACAATGTACTAGAAATTATTCTGTCTTTTCCTTTCAGTTTTTTTTCTTTCTTTGGCATAGCAGAGCTGACCGTACAAGTAGATTCCCATAGAACACAAAAGTGTAGGCAGAATTTTTAGGCTACTTGGAATCCAACCTGCAATTTCCCGTTAGCTAAATTCTTTGTTGATTTCCTGTAAGAAATGAAGGGGTGTTTCCTTCCTGAAGAGTATGAATCTAACCACAGTGAAATGTCCAGCACTGTCTCTGAGGAGATGTGTCAGACAAAATCAGACACATGTACATATATGCATATATTTACACTCACATATATGCCGTGTACACAACTGATACAGTCACATCTATGTATGTACTTGGATAAAGCATGAGCCACGGGCAAAAATATCAGTGACTTTCTCTGCCACAGAGCCTCTGAAAAAGTCACAGACCTTATTAGATAATGTTATTAGCTAGAGGCTTAGGGAACCTTCTAAGTGGCAGGCATACTACGAATTTCAATGAAGTCTAATTAGCACACATTTGCACAGTCATTTTAGTGCATGGTCATTTTTATGACTATGTAATAAAACCTTGAAATAGCTACTGTTAAATCGATGATTGTACTCGAAGAGTTTATAGACAGGGCAGAAGAAGGAGGATTTTTAAAAGAATTATACTGAACCCAATGCTGCAAGCCACCTTTGAATGATGGACAGAGGAGAAGAGGAATGGTTCTGCCTCCTAGAGAGTGCCTAGACAGGCAGCCTCAAGTGCTGTACCTAAGTGCTGTCCAACTCAGGTGGCCCCTGCTGAGCAGGGGACCAGGAGATAGTCCAGACCAGGCTGTTCCTCAGGGTCCTTTGCAGAACCACAGTAGGCCCTAGCTTGCTTTTCTCTACCCTCTGGAAGTTTATCAGTAAATCAGTTCATTGGCAGATCTGGTTGTCTCTGTCTTTCCTGACCATTTACTCCTTTCCTGCTTTCTGGGATGTTCTCGTTTTAGTTCTCTTTGCTTTTCTGATTTACCACTTTGCACCAATAATTCAACATGTGTGCATTCCTCAAGTATCTCCGCACACTCGCTGCTGGCAAGACGCAAGGCATGGCTGTTTAAAGAATTTCGCAATTGTTATTTCATCTGCAGCCCTCGCAACTCCACTGGCACTTGGAGTTAAGGGCAAGGATGATGTTTCCAAGGTTAGCTCAACAGAGTCCCTGTGAGATAATTATGTGCTAGGGCTTTTGATCGATTGTATCTGCCTGTCTGTCAATAGCACCTGATGAAGAAGAGCAGTATGGTGATGTTTGCTACAAGGACACGTGTGTGCAGTTGCTCCGTGGATGAAACTGAATGAGAACTATGTCACACGCCTTTCAAACGATTCCATTCATTACCATCATCTCCCCCACCATGGTCATCTGCATCTGCTGCACCCTTCCTTCATGCCAGAAATTGGTCCAGAGTACTTTATATGAATTTATTCATTCAATCCTTACGGGTGCCTAAAGTGCTGTCATAATTTATTATGGAGACAGTGAAGGTTACCTATATTTTGTCTTAGATGTGAGAAAGGTATTTCACACTCTTGTGGGAGTATGGAAAATCCTGGGCTTTCAAGCTAGAGAAGCTGAGATTCGAACAGGGTCTGCTTGCTCACAGTGCTCTGTGCAAGGGAGCTGCACGACCTCGGCCTGGGCACGGCCCAGGCGGTGGAGACGATGCAGGAAGCGCTCGTCCTGCAGCAGGCATTCGGCACAGGCAGCCATTATTGCTGTTGTTATTTTCTTTATACATGCTGGATTTATGACCTAAATAAGCAGAGCTAATGTAAACTTGATGAGAGGTGGGCATTTTTAATGGAGATAAGGATTGGGATGGACATCTGCAAACCGCAATTTAATTTTTTTTTTTTTTCAGCTAACTGTGGTCTTAAGCCAACAGCAGAATTTCTTTTTTCTTCCAGATTCCACATCTGGTAGAATAAAACTCACTGCTCCTGGCCTCAAGTGTCTGTCATGAGAATAAACTGTTAGGTGCTCTGGAGTTCTAAGACGATTCAGTGTATCAATCCAGACCGAGACTCTCATAACTGACCTTTCAAATGTGTATGTAATCCCTGGGCAGCTTAGTATTTCCTAGCTATAAGACATATATAATAAGGTCATTATTTAATGGGGGAAGTTGAGGCTTTTTCTTTTTTTTAGTGGTGGTGTTCAAGATAGAGATCTAACTATATTGCCCAAATTGTTCTCAAACTCCTGGGCTCAGGTGATCGTCCTGCCTCAGCCTCCCCAGCACTGATAAAACAGGCATGGACCATCTGGTGGCACACAGGGAACGTGGGTAGGACAAGCCATTGGCAAGTGGTGGGAAAGAGACAGATTCCACATTAAACAGGGCAGGTCCACCTTACAGAGTCTGTGAGTAAAGTGACTGTCCTTACTCTTGTCTCTGACTTGTTTTGAAGAAATGCATAGAAACAAAACACATAAGTAGATGCCCCACTGCTCGAACAAGTCCTTCAGTGTAGTCTGGAAAGGTCAGAAAGCATGGCTTGCAGGCTGAGTGGGCCACACTGCCAAGTGCAGACAAGAATTCAGTGGGCACTCAGCCCTTCTGAGTGTGCCCTCAGAACCAGGTGGTGTGTGTGTGTGTGTGTGTGTGTGTGTGTGTGTGTGTGTGAGAGAGAGAGAGAGAGAGAGCCATGCTGTGATTCTGACCAGGATCATGGAACTTTTGCAAACAGGCTGTCAGCTGTTGTCAAACTAACGGTTCTGGAGAGATCTTACTGGTCAATGTCTTTTTACACAGCCACTGCAGGTAGACACAAAGGGCCAGGTAAGCATATAGTTAGAGGAGCATGTTTTGGATGAGAATGTACATCCTAGAGCTAAACTAGTTTATACTCAACAAATTACATTCTAATTTCCTTCCTAATACTATCAGTTTGTTGATGCTGGGGTCCTTACAGAATTGTCAATAGCTCTCTGACTATATTGATGAAATAATAGCAAATATGTTGAACTGTAGGGGACTCAGGTCAACAATTTCTGACACTGCCAGTCAAGCAGAAGACCCAATACTATTATGGACTATTGGACTATTTTGGAATATTTTGCTGAGTTCACACACCTAAATTGTAAAGATGCTAGAATTTAACAATTTGACAAGGGGACATGACATTTGCTGTACTCAAATAAATTAAGCTTTTGTTTTCTCCTGCAAAATACCAGAGAATATATAGAAGTACTATGCAACCAGTCACCCAGGGAATCTTTATGTAATTCCTGATTTTAAGGGGTCAATGTCTATACCTAGTGGAAGACAAAGCAGAAAAAACAACCAACCCAACAATGCTCGCTGGGCATTTGTGGTTCTCAGTCCTGAACCTCGGTTCTCCTTCCTGGAGGTCCTGATTTCAGTGGTGTGGGGTGGACCTCAATGTGCATGTCAGTGTGCCTGAAGCTGCACACGTGCCTGCTGTGCAGTCTCAACTGCGGACCAGCGCTGTGCGTGGCAACTGCCCTTAGTACAAACGCCATTCACAGAGTTGAGGGGAAAAGTCTCAAAACACTGTGGAGGCCCAAAGTTACTGGGGAGCAAGTGTGTCATGCCGAATGAAGAGATGCAGGCTAAGCTTGGATTTTTCTGGACTGAAACTTTCATACCAGGAAAACATTATCATTTCAACTGGAAGGCTTCCCAGATGTCTTCCAGCTTTGACATTTCTGATTCTAGACCTGTGATTTTTAACACTGTTAAAAAAAAAAAAAAGCAAAACAGTAACAACGACAAAAATGTGCCATGGCCATGGCTGTGACCTCATCTCTAGACATTTTGATCGGGTCTGGGCTGGGGAGTGTGTTGCCACCTTTCTAAAGTCCCCATAGGTGATTGAAATGTGTACCCAGAACTGAGTGTCATTGATCTATTCCTTCTCAAACAAAAATCTTTTAAAGCAAAAGCTGAAATTTGCACGTGTGTGTGTGTGTGTGTGTGTGTGTGTGTGTCCATAAATGTGCTTGGGGGCACAATGCCTAGCTGAGAGTGTGGTGGGAATTCACACTTTGTCTTGGATTAATTCAGAAACATGGAAGAAATGCAAACACATATGTCCCTGTTGTCTTAATTAGTCCCGGCTGGTGGTTCTATACACATAGTCAAGAAGTGATGCCAAGCGTCTGGGATTCCAGCCCATTTTAATCCCCTGTAGGTTTCACAGAAAGGAAAACAACAGGTAACAAAGCCCGGAAGAATAACACCCAACACACACACTGGAGAAAATTAATCTGTCTCACCTAGCACTTTACAGGGATGATATCACGTAATCCTCATAAGAGTGAATTAATTTTCTCTGTTTCAGAGACAGACACTTGGGAGAAATTAAACACTTGGTCCAAGACAACCCAGTAAGGAGCAGTGGCCCCTGACATTCCAACCCAAACTTTGCCTTCCTTTCTTCACTCCACTCCCCATGTTCGCTCTCACCCTAGCCAGGAGTTGATGGGTGACGAGAGGGGGAATATATTCTTTCTTTGGGGATCGAGATGGATGAAATGGGGCTCAAAGGGAGGATGTTGCCCTCTACATCCCGCGAAGGCTCAAAGCTAAGACTGTTGCCTTAGGGATGACACAGTTAACACTGCTAAGAGGACAGGCAGGAAGGCACAGGCAAGGGTGAGACAAGTTACAGGGGAGAAGCATGCAGTGGAGGGCAAAGAGAAGAGATACAAGTAAAGGGGACAGGCCAAGGCACCCGAGCTTTTGGTTGTGACGATGGCTGGTGCTTTTTCTTTGTTCCGACAGTGCTAAGAACCCCAGGTGTAGAATCAGAGGCTGTCAAGGCTGGAAGGAATCTTAGAAATCTTCCAGTTGAAATCATAACCTTTTGGATCTTTCAATTTCTTATTTTTTTTTCTTTAAAATAAAAAAATGAAAAAAGAAATAATAACATTTTCCATTTGATAAGAAAATTTCAGTCCAGTCAAGACAGCTACTTTAAGGCAGCGTCAACCTTAGCTCGCTTATTCTAGACCCTCCTTTGCTAAGTCGGTGATCGTATCGCTAAGAGGACAGTCTTCAAATAGCCAGAAAGAAAGAGTGAAAGGCCAAGAGATGAAGATCCTGTTGCACACAGTGATCAAGACTCAAAGCTGTCCTAAGCATCTCAGATTCCTGAGCTAAGACTTCAGCACTGTCAGCTGACACAGAGGTGGGTTAGAAACATGCTGGGGCATCACCTGGAGACTGAGGACCACGCGACTGTTGGGCTTCACGCTGGGGATTCTGACTCGGGGCTGGGGTGGCAGGGAGCGTGCATCTGACAGCTCTCCTTGCTGGCCCGGGGACTGCACTCTGGGAACTAGTCACTAGTGCCAGGGATACCTGAAGCGTGGGGCGGCCCTGTGGTCTTGGCAGGTCTTCACCTCCTCTAGAGCCCACTTGTACTAAACTTAAAGAAATTTTATAAGAAAAATGTCACCATCTGGGCCAGGTCTAATTCTTTGTGCCACTAATTCAGAAACTGCTCAAGGAGATCACTGCCATTGGTCCCATATGTCCACAGGATGGCGTCTTAAGTTCAGGCTGATTTACATAGGAATAAAAGAGCTGAGGAAATTTCCAGGGAGCTATACATAAAAACAGTTTATGGGGGCAAAACAAGTTTAGAAAAATACAAAAAAGCAAAATTAAGTTTGTAATGCAGTTTACATTCGGCACATGAGTGCGAAGTGTGTGCCAAGCGTCATAACCTGGTTTATGCTGCATTTGCCCTTTAAGACATACATTAAAATTTCAGCACAAGCCATATGGAGATTCACAAAATTATATACTGAAAAGGAGGCAGGCAGTGTACTGTACTCCCACGTGGCCATTATGCTCACCACTTAGAGGGCTTATATGGAAACAAGATCACCAATTTGCGAGAGACGTATTTCATCCTGCACAATTCCAACTCCTGAATAAAAGTAAATTAGCCTATTGAGGCCGTCTCATAAAAATCATCTTAAAACTACAAAACAATTCTGAGGTTTTATTCATAATAATACTTAGAGCTTCCCATAAGAAAGATTTGAAGACTCAAATTATAATGAATAGGCCTAAGCTTCTCCACTACACACTTGAAAAGGAAGACTCAGTAGAATGACGTGAAGGGCTGACTTCATCCCTTCCTTCAACAGCTCTTCCGGCTCACAGCCCTCTTCTACTTCAAAGAGATCCTCTGTGCAGGAATAGCACAAGGAAATACCGTGAGGATCAAGTTGTTTATAGTGATCGTCTATTCAGATACACTGGATAGCATATAATAAGCATGATGAACAGGGGCATTTTGATAATAAGTAGGTTGCCCACTTTTTGACTAATATCTTTTTTTGTCTTTTTGAGACAGTTTTACTATGCAGTTCAGACTGGCCTTGAACATACTTTACAGCTCAGGCTGGCATCAAACTCACAGCACTCCTCCTGCCTCTGCCTCTCAGTGCTGGAGTTCCTGGCATGCACTGCCATGCCTGGCCCTGATATTTTGACCTGGTACTAATTGTTTGAATAGCTGGAGGTCAGAGGGAGAAGTTAAAAAGATTCACAGAAGACCTAAATTCTTTGTCTAGTTAATACAGCTTAGCTTGGAAGCCTCAAGGGGACAAAGTTTTAGAGTTAGACAAGTTTAATCCGGATTTCAGCTTTGCCATGTATGTGCTGCCATTTGGGAACCAGGACAGACACTATCTGCCTCACTCTAAAGATATGAAGATTCAGTCTGGTGAGTAGATACGATGACATCCTGTGTATTGTGTCTTGTGTGGGACAAGTGCTTAATGAAAGGTGGATTTTTTTTTTTTTTTTTTACTTTTCTGATTCTGTTGCTCTTTGTATTGCTTTTGGTGGAAACTTGTTTGCTGACAGGATGACAGCACTTTCTTTCACCCTGCACAAATTTCCTCCTCCACACTGGTGGTCCGTATTCTCACTTTCCTTAAATGCAGTGCCAATCCACTGGACAAGTATTTTTTCCCAACCTACTCTTAGTAGCAGGCAGTTCTTGGTAGCCCTAGGTTCTGTCATAGTTTCACAGTGGAAAGGATTCGTTGTCATAAAGTGTTTAATGTCACACTTTACGAGCAGAGATAGAAACAAGCAGCACACAGAATGTGGCTTTCCTTTTCCAACCTTGTTCACAGATTCTGGGCTACAGTTTGTGTTAGCCAATAGCTGAGTGTGGCCTAATGTGGAAAGGCTACTGCCTGCCTCTTGGAAGGCTTCACTGCCCAGCAAGCACCCAAGGCTTGGGCAGGCAGGCTCTCCAGCCCTCTTTGAGGCCCAGTTTATGGGTGCTCGAAGACCCCTCTCTTTGGAAGCAGGCTGTGCCTATGGGTACAGCGTTCTCCCTTGGAGCAGAAGCACCATCTTGGTTGACTGGAGGAAGCTCAAGCAGTGATGTGGAGGTCCAGCATGGACCAGTTGGACAATTATGTCCTCAGAGAGGCATCACAGTGAGCTTGGCCTCATTATCACTATGGAAACCTTATGTACACAAAAGCGTACATTATTTTATATGTTGAGAAAGTCCTGTATATTAGAAATGGTGGGACACAGGAAGGATGTGAGAGGAAGGGGATCACTCACCTGCCCAGGCTGCTCACAGGCTGTCTGATACCTGGCCTGCTGGCACAGTTCCTTGACTCGCTCATACTTTGGCAAGTGATTGGACTGTTGAATATTCTTGTTGGCTTCTTCCTTCTTGCGTAGAAATTTGCTTTGTGAGAAAGACAAAAGCTCTTATACGAGAAGTGACATGAATTCCCTTCCCCGAGTGTTGCTTATTTTCTTTTTCTTCCCTGTCAATGGCTCCACATTCTTTAAATAGCAAGATGTGGATGTTAAGAATCTGTCCATAGGAGTTCAACATTTGCTAAATTCTGTTTGAAAATTACAAGCAGGTTCAATGAAGTTTTCATGATCAGGATAAGAAGAATTGTCCCCTCCAACCAAAGCACAAATTTAAAAACTTTGGGCATAAATTTTATTTTTATGTGCTCAAAGTTCTTTCCTTGAAAACAGCTTTTTCTCTCTCCCAACTTCTATACAGAAGAAAAACAAGGCAATGAGAATTATGAATCAAGAGGGAAAACCCAGAAGTGACTATGGAAACAATGACAAGAGCATACATTTATGTATTTAAGATTATGAAAGGCACGTAAGGAAAAGAAGTAGAAAGTTGGGTGCCAATACCAGCTGAGCATGAGGGGCTATTCAGAGAAGGAGGTGGAAAGCTGGTCTGATTAGGGACCGAGGCTGGGGACTGCAACAGGAAATCTGAACCCACTAAAGGCTTCGGGCTCATCTCATAAATGAGCAGTAATCACTCTGCTGGTCAGTAGAGAATGAATAGCAAGCCATTACAACGAGGCTTACAAAATCTGCAGTGCTTAGTAAACCAAAATAAGGAGGGGAAAAAATACCCAGCAGGGAGAGCTGCCCACTAGGCCTAGTTCCCAGAAGTGCCCCAGGAACCAGTAATTACCCTCTTTCTACCAGGAATGTATCACGCCAAATTCTGGCCTTCTTGTTTGTTCGAAACCTAAAAGGAAAATAGTAATATTTACTGTTGGCATCTGGACGTTTTTGCAAATGAATCTGTGCTAACAGTTTATTTAAAGAGCACCTCTCCCTTCCCACAGCCCAAGACCGGATCCCCTTCAGCAGGCTATTCACATGCAGCTGAGAAGGCTCAGCTTGGGGCGATGCTCAGCAGCAAAGTGTCCTTCCTTTCACTCCTTCCAGCTGCAGGCCGGCTCTGGGCACCCGCTCAGTGTGCTTGGGGCTGGCTGGGAGAAGGAACACGGACACACCTGTTCCCTGGCTTTTCCAGGTCTAGAAGTTTGAGGACAGACTTGCCATCCACGTCAGGAGGTGTGTCAAGCCCAGCAATATCCAGGATTGTAGGGGCCAGGTCGATGTTAAGAACAATCTGTGGGATTCTGTAAAGAGACAGATGGTTATAGCTTGGACCCAAAGCCCGTGGAGGGTGCCATTTAAGGCTGCTCTTTCTACAGCAGTGAGTTCTTGGCTTTCTCCTCTTCTCACCCTGCCCTCTGGGTTTCTAGAGGTGAGTGGCACCATCTAACCGGGAGGGTGAGGGGTCAGCAGCAGTGGAGACTGACTGTTGAGTGGGGCTGGTGAGATGACCCACCCTTCTCTCGCTGCAGCCATACCGCCAAACTGGATGTGACCCAGCACACGGTGTCTGTGGGATCTGCACGTTCTTCTAATAGCTAGTAGTGCACAACTTCTCTGTGGAACTAGTGCTTGAGCATCCGTGTTCTAGAAAACTCTAAGACAAATTTTAGAGTTGAACCTAACCAACACTATCCAGTGTTTGGTGGCTTGATGTTAGAAACATAACTATAGACATGCTTTCTAACTATAGAGATGACAATTCCTAGTAAGTTTCAAATATTTTAAGAGACATAACACGCTTAAAAGAAACCCTTCTTTCTCTTCTCTCATCAGCCCAGGATGGAGTGTCAAGGTGCATCAGCAGGTCAAGCGTATGCCTGAAAGTCTGGGCCCCCATGTGGCAGGTCTAGAATCAGGGACTCAGAGACGGCATTTGCACCACCTGTCCGGCTTCTGCATTGTTCATATCACAGTCCAGGCTAGCAGCTGGTTAGAATTCTCCTTCTGTGTTCTCTTTCACCCTTTCCATGATTCTTTTGTGCATGATCTCATTTTATACAGAACATTCTGGTTTGGTTGGCCTGGTACAGGGGACTCTCTTTGTGGTGGGAGAACAGAGATGAGAACAGAAGTAGTGGCCAGCCTGCGGCGACAGTGGCAGAACTCCAGGGCCTTGGGTCTCTTTTATTTTAATTTATTTTTTATTTTTTAAAGAATACAAAATAGTGATAGGAAAAAACAGCATTAGAAACGATATAAGATTTCACTAAACAAAGTAATAGGAATTAAACAATTATCTATTACATAATGCTGTCTTCAAATTCTTTTAAAAGAAAATCACACATTTTATAGTTTTCTCTTAAACCTAATGTTTTAATAACTCTTTTTAAAAACTAAATATTGAGGATGGCATTATTTCATCTTTTATAGGGACTGACTTTTGTTTTTTGTATTTAGGACAGGGTGTTCAGGGTCTCACTGTGTAGATCAGACTTGTAGTGATCCTCCTGTTTACAGCCTCCCAAGAGCTGGGATTATAGGTGCGCACCACCACGCCCAGTCTCAATCGCTGTCTCAGTGCACCCTGGGGCTGTGGCCGGCCCAGAGATCAAACTCCTGGCCCCTGGGTCTGCCTAAGCAGGTGCTTTCATCTGCTGAGCTATTTGGCTGGCCCTGTATAGAGACTGACTAACTGACTGTAGCACTGGAAATTGAACTCAAGGCTTTTGTACTACACCCACCTTTTAATTTTTTTTTTTTATTCTGAGACAATTTAAATGGCTAAATTGTCCAGGTTGGGTTCAACTTTTTTATTCTTCTGCTTCAACCTCCCAGGACTGAGACTATAGGTGCATATTATGTGCCACCTGTGGCTAAGCAAAGATAATTTTCAAAAGTTGTGGTATTTGTTTGATTCAGAGATAGTGGGGATAATGATCTCTCTCTGTCTTTGTCCACAGGTCAAAAAGACACATTTTCTGGTCAATTTGAGGGAATTCAAATTAGTTATTCATGCAGTTATTATTATTATTTTTAATTTTATGTATTTGGTA